CCCGATCCTTATCTCGGCTGATGTACACACCTGACTCCTGACCCACAGCCACTGAGTGCCCTAAAATGCCATTCTGTTCCAGGGCAGGATGGGAAGTGACCGCTGGGCCATGCCAGTGACATCCACGTCGCCTTGTGTTTGCGCTCAGAAATGCTCATTACACCAGGGTTGAAAGGCTCGCTATGTGGTAAAGGCAGCCCCGCTACCTGCCACCCCCCGCCTCCCCAATGCGTGGTCAGGCCTGAGACCACTCACCGTGCTTCCCGCAAACCCAGGGTGGTTCCATCCGAGGACCGAGTATCCCGCTGAAAAAAAACCAGGGAGAGAGAAGGAAAATTGAAACAAGGGGCACCGTCAATTCCGGTCAAATTCTTAAGCCCAGTCGGAGGCTGTTTGGCCCATCCAGCTGGTACTGGCTCCTTCCAAGAGCTGCCCAATCAGCTACCCCCACCCCCACCCCCCCCCCCACCAACCCCCGCACTCGCTTCCCTTTTTAAACTGCAGCGGTGTCTCTCTGCTGAGAGAGATCAGCTTCCTCTGCATTCCAGATCAACACAGAATACAAAACAAAACGAGCCAACTGCAGAAACGCTGCAAATCAGAGAAATTGCTGGAAAAGTCAGCGAGGGATTTTGAAGAAAGGACACCGGACCCGAAACGTTCACTCTGGTCTCTCGCCACAGAGGCCGCCAGACCTGCTGGGTTTCTCCAGTGATTTCCGATTTTGTTCCAGATCAACACAGTCACTGCCTGTAAATATAACTCCCATCTCTGCTCTGAGCCATACTGCAACTCTCTCAAACCGGTGTCCCCCTCCCGCAAGAAGGGACAGTGATTCCTTGTCCTTTTTTAACTGAAACCTTTTCAGCTCAGCGGTTAGCACTGCTGCCTCACGGCGCCAGGGACCCGGGTTTGATCCCACCCTCGGACGACTTTCTAAGTGGAGTTTGCACATTCTCCTCATGTCTGTGTGGGTTTCCTCCGGGTGCTCCGGTTTCCTCCCACAGTCCAAAGATGTGCAGGTTAGGGCGTATTGGCCATGCTAAATTACCCATAGTGCCCAGGGATGTGCAGGCTGGGTGGGTGAGCAATGGGAAATGCAGGGTTACAGTGGTAGGGAGGGTGGGATGCTCTTCAGAGGGTCAGAGTGGACTCGAAGGGCCGAATGGCCTGCTTCCACACCGTAGGGATTCTATGAATCTTGATTTGACCTCCCCCGATCTCTGCTGGCTGACAAACGACCCAAACTTGTCCCGTCTCTCGTCCCTTCCTGTAAAGCTCCTCATACACTCCATTTCTGAGTGACCGCCAATCTGGCCAGCAGGGAGTGTGGTTTCCAGGGTGAGTGGAGGTCATGGTGCCAGGTCACATTCCAGTGCCTGGAATAAACAAGGGTAGACAGGAAAGCTGGAGGAACCACACTGCAGTCAGCCAACTTGCTGCCTTGGTTAAAATGAACCAGCCGCATTGAAATAGCCGGAGAAAGAAAGCCGGGGCCATGCCTTGTGCCGATCAGGACAAAATCTCAAGAGTGCCAAATCTCAGAGAACACCAACTTATATCGCACGAGAAAGGGGGTGCTGATTGGTTAGCCAATGGACTCTGGTTGGTGGATACGTTGCCATGCAGAACGCAGCAGGGAACCAGGAACTGGCAAACTCTGGCTTGAACTCAAACCAGGATCGGTCGAGGTGCTAAAGCTGTGTTCTCGACAGGAGCCTCATACCTTCCATTGGGGTGCTGACACAGCCAACCTCATAGAAACCAGCGTTCCCTTCACAGCAGACCACCTGTAGTGGACAGGAGGGATATCCGTTATTACAGAGCAGGCTGGCAGAGGCTGTAATGTACCCTCAGCGCATCCCCAACACTCCTCCCCTCTCTCTCTCTATCCCCACGGCCCCCACCTCCAAGATTCTCAGCTCACTGAGAGGCCATTCAGCCTTCGCAGCGCTCCTTCGAAACAGCAACCCAGTTAGTTACACAACTCCTGCCCTTTCTACACCCCTCACACTCCAAAGCCCTTCTATTTTATTCCCTTCTCAAGCATTTAACATAACTGTACAGCACAGGAACGGGCCCTTCGGCCCAAGGATGCTGTGTCAAACATGACTCCTAATGAAACTAATCCCTCTGCCTGCCTGTGATCCATATCCCTCCATTCCTTGCACATGCATGTGCTTATCTAAAAGCCCCTTCAGCGCCGCTATTGTATCTGCCTCTACCACTACCCCCTGGAACATTTTTCAGACTCCTGCCACTCTCCATGTAAAAAACTTGCCTCTCACATCTCCTTTGAACTTTCCCCCCTTCACCTTAAATGCGTGCCGCCTAGAATTAGACATTTCAACTCTGGGAAAAAAGATTTTGACAGTCAACCCTATCTATGCATCTCATAATTTATAGACTTCAATCAAATCTCCCCTCAGCCTCAATGCTCCAGAGGAAACAATCTGAGTTTTTCTAGCCTCTCCTTCTAATCCAGGCAGCATCCTGGTAAACCTGTTCCGTCCCATCTCCAAACCCTCCACATCCTTCCTGTAATGTGGGGACCAGATACTCCAAGTGTGGCCTAACCAAAGTCTGATAAAGCTGCAACATGACGTCCTAACTCTTGTACTCAATTCCCCGACCAATAAAGGCAAGCATGCCATACGCCTTCTTTACCACCCTATCTACTTGCATCGCCACTTTCAGGGAGCTATGGACTTGAACCCGAAGATCTCTCTGTACATCAATGCTGTTCAGGGCCCTGCCATTTTATCAAATTCCTTTTGTTCGGAGAGTGAGCATTCCATCTTCTTTCACCATCCCTACAGGCTGGCCTTTCAGATTGGCACCATGCCCTGCTCAGGGTGAAAACAAGTCTTCCACCTCTTTGTTGGTTTTAAATCCACGCCCTCTGCCCTCTGACAGACTTGGCAGGAAAACCACCATCTCCTTATTCACTCTCAACCAGCCAGCAAAACCTGGGACACCTCCAATAAATCTCACCTTCCACAAAACCCCAGCTCCTCCAGCCCTCTCCCTGTAAACCCTTCCGCATTCAAGCGAACAGATGGGGGACCTAGAGTCATGGAACCATATGGCACAGAAACAGACCCTTCAGTCCAACTAGTATACACTGACCAAGTTTCCCAAACTAAACCAGTCCCAATTGCCTGTGTTTTCCCCATATCCCTCTAAACCTTTCTGATTCATGTACCTATTCAAATGTCTTTCAAATGTTGTAATGGTACCTGCATCCAACACTTCCTCTGGCAGCTCATTCCACACATAAACCACCCTCTGTGTAAAAAAGTTGCCCCTCAGGTTCTTTTTAAATCTTTCTCCTCTCACATTAAAAATATGCCGCTAGTTTTGAACTCCCCAGCCCTAGGAAAAAGATCTTAGCTATTCACCTTATCCATGCCCCTCAAGATTTTATAAATCTCTATAAGGTCACCCCTCAACCTCCTACGCTCCAGGAAAAAAGGTCCAAGCCTCTCCTTGTATCTCAAACCCTCCATTCCCAGCAAAACCCTGGTAAATCTTTTCTGGACCCATTCCGGTTTAACGATATCTTTCTCATAACGAAGCGACCAGAAGTGGACACAGTACACCCCTGTGAAAACAGACTGCAGGAGACAGAGAATGGGTCTGGTGAAGACCATGAGCAGAACCTGTTCCCAACCACGAAAGGACCGGAAATCAGAAGGTGTAGACTCAGAGCAATTGGTGAAATGGGAGGAAATACTCTTTCAGGAGGAGTGTGGTTGGTGGCTGGAATTGTACTGCCTGACTGTGCAGTGAATTTAAACTCCACCGATTCAGACTGAGCTGAAACCCAGTGCAGGAGACAGGATGCTGTACACACGCAGTAGGTCCTGGGACATCACACCATTACTGAACAGCAGCTTGTACTGTCAAGGCTGTGTGGTTCTTAACAGCCTTTCAGAAAGCAGGGGCACGTTTACACAGCTGCAAACCACAAGCGGGTCTCTACCACATCTTACAGCCCTAACATCCGAGAAATTGATGAAGTTTGACGTCAGTAATTTAAAGTAGGGTCAGACTGTTATCACACCAACTAAAATTAGCCTTCTGCTGCAAATCCAAAGAGCAAGGTGCTAAGTTTGGTTACGTGTATGGAAGACGTGTAAAGACAGGCCCCTAAAGAGATAACAGAATTGGTCAAGTAGCAGGAAAGTACCGTGAACTGTGAATGAAGAGGAACTGCTGGGACTGTTGCATACATCAGATCTGTTTAAAAGATCGGCTCAAAATTCCACGCACATTGAAGGTTTCTCTCAAAGACTTCTCCCAAACATACAAATATTTCTTTGGTGCCGATGATCTCCTTTGTGTTTATTTCTAACCCACGCCGTGCCGCTGATAGGTACGCCTTTCAGAGCCACACTGTGGTCTTGCACATCTTTGTGTGATGCCCCACCTAGCTGAGCTACCAGCCACACACACAGCCTGTCTGAAAAGGAACGTGGGTTTATTAAGCAGACGCAGCTGCCCAGAAAGAGCCCCTGAGGACATGACAGGCTCCATCCTGCTCTGTAACAGTACCGATTCTGTGAAAACTGAAGTCCCTCATCTCTGTTACTAATCAAGAAATTTCCATACTGACCACATGTAAAAGGCCTTTATGCCTCCTGTTTTCTGTTAAACAAGCAGTCTTTAATCTGTGCCAATATGTTACCCCCTACAACACGTGCTTTCATGTTCCACAGCGACCTCTGACGTGGGAGATTATCAGATTCTTGCTGGAAGTGTAAATACAGCATGTCCACTATCTCCTCTTCGTCCTGGGACAATAGTGAGGCTTTCAGAGGGGTGTTTTGTCCTGATTTCTTTTACAGAGAGACTGGGGGACAGGTGCTAGACAGTCTATGAGAAGATAAACAACTTGTGAAGCCTCGGGTGTTTGTTTCTAAATGAAAGCTGCAACAAGAGAAGTAGCCTGAATGGGTGTGATCAAGCTCCCACCCGCAGAACCTTTAGTTTATAGCAGCAGCTGCTGTTCGGGTCCTGAAGAAGTAGAAAGTATTCCCCCCTCCACACCTCCCCCCACTCTCAATTACAGCCAAAAGGTGAGCGGGGGGGGGGTTCTTTTCCTAGGCTGGTGGACTGCATGTAAGACAAACTCTGTTTTCTGAATTTGCCTTTTTGCCAAGGGGTGTGTTTATGGGATGTTTCTATATTGGAACAGTTCTGTATCTATTATTTGCTTAAGTTTTCCAATAGAGTTGTTATTCCAAGTCCTCCTTTCTTTTGTTGTATTTTAACCACAGTGTTTGAATAAATTGTCTTTTGCTTAATTTTCAGTAGCTTGACCAATGAAATTTCATGTGGAACATGGAACTTTACTTTTGCCTTTTAAATAAGTAGTTAGGGTCTGGGCTACGTTCTTAAAATATTTTGAGGGGGTCTGGTCTGGTCCATAACAATCCACGGTTCACAATACTTCCTTCAATGACTCCAATTGTCTGGTTACACACAATTTTCCTTTCACTAAACCACGTCAACTCCGCTCAATTACCTCGGACATAACTGCTAACATTTTCCCCATGACAGACGCAATGGCTCTGCAGCTTCTTGTTCTCTGTCTCCCCCCGCTCCCTTGATGAATAAATGAGTTATGTTCACTGTCTTCCAATCTAATGGGACCTTCCCCAAATTTGGAAAGTTACAGAAAATTAAAACTAATGCATCAATAATTTCACCAGTTGTTACTTTTAAGACCCAAGAACGCAGTTCATCAAGACCTGGGCACTTATTAGCCACAGCATTAACTAGTTACTCAGTACCAGTTCTCTGGTGATTGTGAATTTCCTGAGTCCATGTCTCCCTTCCATTTCCTGAATTACTGCTGTGTCTGGGATTACCTCCATCCTCTACAGTGAAGACTGATGCAAAACAGCTGCTCAATTCATCTACCAACCTTTTATTTCCATTATTAATTTTCCAAACTTTCACTTTATAGGATTAATGGTCACTTTCTTAGCTCTTTTGTTTTTTTTTAAAGAAGCTCTTACTATCTGTTTTTAAATTACTGGCTACCTGTAATTTTCTCAATTATTTCCTTGATGTGGAGGTGCCAGTGTTGGACGGGGGTGGACAATCTCCCATGTCACCAGGTTACAGTCCAACAGGTTTATTTGAAATCACAAGCTTTGGGAGCGCTGCTCCTCCATCAGGTGCAGTGCATTTCATCTGACAAAGGAGCAGCGCTCCCAAGCTTGCGATTTCAAATAAACCTTTTGGACTATAACCTGGTGTCGTGTGACTTATTACTTTCGTGGCTATTCTTGGCTGTTTTTCATATTCCATTCAATCTTCCGATGTGCCGCCTGTCTTCGCAAAATTATATCGATTTTTAACACTATCTTTAATATATCCTGTTAACCATGGATGTCTCCTACAACCTCTTCCGACGGGCACAAGGTACAGAAGCTTAAACACATGCGCCACTAATGAAGAACAGGTCCTTCCCTGCCCCTATTAAACTGATGAATGGACTCTCTAACTTCAAATAACGTTGACCTTGTTAATGTTGATCTTGCCTAAAACGTCGCCTGTGCGATGTAACCTGCACGCCTTACTGTCTTTTTCATCTATATGCCCTTGCTTACTATGATCTGCCTACACTGCTTGCAAACAAAGCTTTTCACTGTACTTAGGTATCAAATCAAATCAAATCATTTGTCCCTCAGAAAGAATTCCAACATGTAAGAAACAATGTATTCTGAAATATCCCCTCAAATGCCTGCCACTACAACTGGATTGATTTATTTTTCTTTATTCATTCACGGGATGAGGGCATCACTGACCAGGCAGCATTTACTATCCATCCCTAATTGCCCAGAGGGCAGTTAAGAGTCAACCACATTGCTGTGGGTTTGTAGTCACATGTAGGCCAGATGAGGTAAGGATGGCACTTTCCTTCCCTAAAGGACATGAGTGAACCAGATGGGTTTTTCCAACCATCGACAATGGATTCATGGTCATCATTAGACTCTTAATTATAGATATTTTATTGAATTCAAATTCCACCATCTGCCGTGGCAGGATTCGAACTCGGGTCTCCAGAACATTATCTGGGTCTCTGGATTAACAGTCCAGCGATACTACCACTAGGCCATCGCCTCCCTCAAGGACTCAGGATCTGTCCTTTAATTTATTTAAAGGTAAAATGCAGGAGATGGGAGATCTGAAATGAAAACAAAAGATGCCAGAGAACCTTAGCAGTTTTGGCAGCATCTGTGAGAGTTAACGTTTTGAGACCAACATAACTCTCCTTGAAATTCTTGATGAGTCATTTCAGACTCGAACCGTCAACTGTGTCTGTCTCCTTCTCTCTCTTTCTCCACAAATGCCACCAGATTGCTGAGCCTCTCCAGTGTTTCATTTTAATTATTATCCTTCAAGGTAATTTTCCTATTCACTTCAGCCAAATGGGTTTTCATGCTCACGTAACTGTCTTTATTTTAACGGGAAAGTCTCAGTCTGGCTCCTCTCTCTCTCTCTCTCAAATCGAAGGCAAAGTTCAATTGTGTTGTGATTGTGCTGTGATCACGAGGAGATCATTAATTAATCCTGTCACATTGCACAATACCTGGTTATTACAGATTGCTATCCGGGGCATGCTTTTCTCATAAACGAGCCTCTGCATCCTGCCCGAGATTTCAACATTCTTTCTAAAGCGAGCTGCCCAGAACTGAACACACGACTCCTCCTGTAGTTGGCCCAGTGTTTGCTGTGGGCTCATGTAACTTCCTCAATTTCGTAGACTTGCCCCATCACTTACGTGGTCAAGCATTCCAAGAATGCAGTCTAACAGCTTTCTGAGCTGGTCCTCCTTGAGTACATGCTGTCCAAGTCACTCTGTTCTGGCATTCCCACGCTAATTGGGAACTTTTCTTCCCATAGTTTATATTACATCTCATCATTCTCCACCACAAACCTCTGGAACACTTTCCCATGGGGAGGTGCTTCACCACAGAAATAGTACAATTAACAGGAAAAGGCAGGGTTTTAGATAAAGATATGCTTTTCCCACTGGTTGGGGATTCTAGACCTAGGGAGCACAATCTGAGAGTGAGGGTGTTCAGGGAGAGACATTTGGAAGCACTTCGACACACGAAGGGTGGGAGAGGTTTGGAACTCTCACACAGCAGTGGGTGCTGGGTCAGTCGTTCGTTCCAAATCTGGGATCGATAGGCTTTCCTTATGCAGACGGTTTTAGGGGAATATGGGTCAAAGGCAGGTAGACGGAGTTAGGACACAGATCAACCTTGATCTTACTGGATGATGGAGGAGGGGCTGAATGGCCTTCTCCCGTTCCTATGACGGTTTGCATACAGCGTGCCTGTTTCAGAGTGCTGGCGTACGCAGTTCCACTGCTGAGTGTTAGCCTTGTGGCTCGACATGCTCCACTCTCACCTCCCAAGCCAGAAGGGGGAGGGGGATCTGCTGCCCCCCAACCCCACCCCGCGGTGTTTTCTTTGTCCCTCGCACACAAGTTGGTCTAACCACGCAACATTTACAAACCCCTTCGCTGCAGAGTCAGGCTCCACCGGCCACATACAGAGCCAGCTGTGTGCAGGGTCCTTCAGGCTGGTCCACAATTGCTCGCGGCTCGTGGATCATGCTTCCCCAGGGAGACCAAGCTGTGCCCCCAACTGCAGCAAACTGGCAGGGGGTGGCGGAGGTGGGGGGGGCGTGCAGTGGCAGAGCGGCAATGAGACCCCAAGCTGGTGCTCAAATCCCACCCCAGCAGCCAGAAATCTGGAAATGGAAGAAAGCGAGCCCTGGCGAACGAGTGACCTCTCTCTCGGTGATTACAATAGAAAACCCATCGGGCTCCGCTTTGGGAGGGAAATCTGCCCTCCTTACCCAGTCTGGCCCACACGTGACTCCAGGCCCACAGCAAGGGTGCTGGCTGTGAAATGGGTGAGCGAGCGAGCGAACAGGTGCACTAGAGGCCTGAGCATTGCCAGCTTGCGTTTCGTGCTGGGGGTGAGACGGGAAAGTGACACACTGTACGGGAGAGACACATCACACAACAGTAACCTTTGGCCGTCCCAGTCCCTCCCTTACCAGCTTTTTCCCACGCTCGGTCTCCGACGCCCTCCGGTCCACAAACACTGTATCGATCTGGTTTCCGTCACAGGCGAGCAGCTTAGCTCGCTTCCCTTGGTACTGCGAAAGGGAACAAAGATGGGGGGTGCAGGGGGGAAATAAAACACAGTGCGACCTTCATCACAGACTCCACTTTCAGATATTTGGGCAGCCCAATGACACACACTCAAGCTCCCGCGGACAGGAGATTTTTCTTTTCTTTAACCTACTTGACTGATCAAATCGTTCAGAGGTGTTATTACACAGCTCCAGAGCTTGAACCCAGGCCTCCCAGTCCAGGGGCACTACCACTGTACTGCAGGAGGCCCCAATACGGAGAGGATAATTTTTCTTTTCGGACGAAAAGGCCAGCACTGGTCGGGAAATGAAGATCAGTCACGACTCTCCGAAAAGCTGCTGTGAGATGTGCCCAGGGTGGGTGTAACATCAGACGTGAAAGCGCGACAGCTCCCACCAACTCATCCCGCGCCTCCCAAAGTGGCAGTGTCAGCCCAGAATTACCCACTTCGCTCTCCGTCTCTCGCGTGGGAATCTGTACCCAGGGGCATGTGTGACACAGAGACAATCGTCAGGTTGTGGGGGGACACGGGGCTGGCCGGCTCTGCATTGCTGCCCTTACCTCCTCCATCAGACGCGCCTGTCCCTGTAGCAGCATCGGCATGATGGCTTTCTGGAGCAATGAAACCGAGCCGGGGTATAGCATCCGTCGACCAAACGAGTGGGCCATTAAATAGCTGCAAAACAAACAGGGAGGCAGGTCACGGGGGGCTGCACCACGCAAGGCACGGCTCACACACAATAACTGATGGATACAGCACTGACCCAATCTCCAGTTTGCCACAGCAGCCAAGAAAGTAGAGGAAAAGCTTAAAAAATAACACACGCACGCACACAGACACGCATCCAGACACACACCCACTTACGTACACGTACACAAACACACACACAAACACAAACACAAACACAAAAACACAGACACACTTACATACAGAAACACACACACACACACACACACACACACACACACACACAAAGTATGGGAGGAAGCACAGGACAATCAGAGACAGGAGTAGCGTGGAGCAGACGGCTGACTGGTGTACAGAGAAATCCAACCCGACTCTGGTTTCGTTTCCAAACGTACGCAGAGGTGCTGCAGTGGCACGGCAGGGAGCTTACCCAATAATCTGGCCGGGCAAGCTGAGGATCTGAGTGACCAGGTTGTTCCCAGTTGTCCCTCTGGATTTCAGATCGGGTTTCAGCAGCGGAACTCCAGCCTTGCTCAGCTTCACCGATCGATGGTCCTTCCTGGCACGGCAAGAAAGGGACCGCTCAGTGGGTGGCACAGCACGTTACAGAGCCTGGACAGACAGGAAGGTGGCTGTTCGGCCCTTTGTCCCGATCCAAGTTACAGAATCGTGGCCAGTCTGCATTCACCTTCTGTATAAAACCTACCAGGCCCTGGCTCGGACATTGTCAGCTGTGTCACAGTCTCCAGGGGCTTGCTGAGAGGACAGACACGCAGGTAAATCTACACCATCCTTGATGGGAGGAGCTGCTTCCTGACATTACCGAACCAGCTGCCTCCACATGTTTGAGGATTATGGCCACCCTCCCACCAAATCCGACCTAATCTGGACTCCCCCCAGGTTAGCCCCTCTCCCCTTCCCATTCACCAATCCCTTTAATCCCCTCGAAAGCCTCGACACACGAGCCAAGTCTGTCCTACCCCACCCTCAGAGTGAGGGGGTCAACGTTACATGACAAATCAGGAGTGGGCCTGAGGCCATTCCACCCCTCAACATGACCTCATCTTCATTTTGTAACTAGAACCCCTCACAGCCTCTGGAACTCCAGACTGATCCCCTCCCCAAGTGGATCGACAGTGATGGGTATACTCCACAAGGTAGCCTTCACTGCTCACCGAGGGGGAGAACTCTCGAGACCCTCGCACTCCCCATCCGCATTAAAGACTGAAACAGGGCCGCCTGGTCCCATATTCCAGCCTGGGTAGCAGGAATTAGTATTGAGCCTAATCCAACAAACACTGAACAGGAATTGCCGACCCATGGTCGGGGCACAACCTCAGTGTGGTCATACCCTAACTCCACTAGCCCAGTGCTTGCAGACCCCATTATAACCAATATAACCACGGGTTTAATAACCGTCCCCACCAACCCAGTGCTCGCAGACCCCATTATAACCAATATAACCACTGGTTTACTAACTGTTCCCACTAGCCCAGTGCTCGCAGACCCCATTAT